GATTATGAAATGCTTCTTTAGAATGACACACCGCATTTGACCATACGTAATGCTCTAGGAAACATATTCTAGTTGTTAAACAAAGTCATGTTTAACCGTGGACTTTCTAACCTGCCAACTGCTGTCATTTGCCATCAAAGTGTATTGCCTCGAATAATGCAATAATAGTGAAACAGTAGGAACAAAAAATGAAAGTGTTTTGTTTTCTTTCCCTTTTATTTGTAAGTCTACAGAGCCTATTTACGTCAACTTAATCATAACTTGTTTAATGAGGGTCAAATTTTTAAAGTAGATGGATGGATTGAATGAAGGATGATGAGGTAGACGTGGACAGAACTCATCCAAACATTCTGTAGAGATGTCCTTTCCTCGAGGTGAATTGGGTGATTCGAGCGTCCAACCTACTACTACCACTTTATGCAGACGTTCAAGCGGTCGAGATAAGGACACAACGTCGACGTTTGCTAAAGGCTTGGGATTGTCTCAATGCCACAATTGAATTGCGTTCTCGCATGCTTCAGGACGCCGAGACGTTGTCTAAGTGGTGTACTTGGCTTCATCACACCTTGACTTGGATCACATCCAGTCACAACATCATCGTCTCAGCTCAAAAGCATGAGAATCAAGAAATTGAAGGTGATTGCAAATGGTGAGCATTGGATGAGGCTTAATTCGGTGATTACCTGCTTCTGCAAGTGCATTCTGATGGACAGCACATTGTTCATGTTGTTGGGGTCGTTGAGGAACCGATGGATCTGAGTTTTGAAGGATTGGTGAATTTCGGATGGATGAGTGAGTGGATTAAGGGTGGGTCTTGAGTGGAAGATTGGAATCTAGGAAAGTGGAATCGAGATGGATGGTTTTGGGACACATCTTGCACACGCGAATGGATTTCCAATCGTTTAATGTGCGTGGAATTATGCTTAGATGAATAGATTTGGCGCCAATGGGCAAGTCTGAACTGAATGGATGAATAAGTAGATGAGTTTGGAACGAAAAAATCGTAAATGGGGCAGTAGATTGTGAAGGCAACGCCTCCTTATAGATCCCATCATGGCACTGCTTGAAATTTTCTTCACAATTGGAACATTTAGTGGTTCCACTTATCCACACTAAAACACAGGCTAGAAATCGTCGGTCTCTCATGCATACCTGATTAAATTACTTTCATTCCAAATCAAATCGAATGACCTGCACAACACTAGATGCTAGTTAAGGAAAAAAAAGTTCTCTTGGTCCTCCTCCTCCTCCTCTCAGGCAATCCAGTGGTTAGTAATTAGCCTGAGTGGTAATTTTTTACGCCCTTCTCCCACCGGCTTCACCGCCATCAACATTAAGTACCCGAGTGTGGAAGGGAGGTTTGACTGCTTCCAGTTTAAAAATCTCACTTCCATGTTCCCCTGCCTTGACCTTTTCTCC